ACACACACACACACACACACACACACACACACACACACACACACACATTGAGCCCATCATTAAGCCGATTGTTTCTGTTCTTTGAAAACAAAGTGACTTTTCTTTTCTTCTCTTGAGAACAGAACATGGTTGAATCTCTGCAAACATGCAGCAGGCAGACTTGAACTGAAAGCTCTATGCTGATGGGGGATGTAGTTTTTTCTAACCTACAGTTACACGATTATTTCAACTCAACTGGCTCCTCCCCCCTGCTGCCATTTTATCCCCTCCTTTGTTTTTATAAATCTTTTTATTTTATTTAATCTGCATCACTACTTTTCATTTCTAAAATAAGTCACATTTATATGATTTTTTTGTCTGATTCTTGTGCACCGCTCACACTACATTCTAGGGGCTCAGATGATGTTTAATGAATGTGCTTTGAGTCTCTGAATCTCAGGACTTGAGTTGGGTTCAGACTGAAGCGTCGACGTCAGCGGGAACGAGAAGCTTCTCCTGCAGCAACACTTCTGGCTGTGAGTCGGGGCAGATCTGTCTCAGAGTGACTGATCGACGCAGCGTTCAGTGAATCTCTCTGGAGCAGAGTCGTTGTGGTTGTTGGCTACCGTAATATTTAGTAACGGACTGTATCATCTGTTATCGGAGCGACCGGAGCAGCGAGTCTGCTTCGTGTGTCGGGAGCGATAACGGGAGGCCGAGCTTTGAGCTCTGACTTCTCTCAACGAGGCCGAGCTCTCGATACATCGAGTTCATCTCTCCGACTGTCAAACTCTGACACAGAAGAGAAACCGTCAAGACTCAGCAACGGATATGCATTTTAAATTATAAAGAAATATTTAAAAAAGTCTTTGATTGGTTCCATTTCAGAATGCCTGACTTCTCCCAGATCTCAATTTCTCCACAGATTTAAAGATTTGGATATTTATATATATATATATATATATAAATATATATATAGATGTAGATATATATAAAGTGTTTCATACTTTGCCAGACTTTCCCGACTCGTGTGAGAAGAGACTAAAGGACTATCGAACTCTTACACAGAGGAGAAGTTATAAAGACTCATCAATGAATGTGCATTTTAAATTATAAAGAAATGAAAAAGCATTCCTAGAAGAGACTAAAGGCCTCAGAGCGTTTCTTCTTGTTGTGGTTCAAACGTAGCCGAGAGGAGAAGGACCGAAAACATTAAAAGATTATTTTGAACACGATGATGAGTTCATGCAACTTACAGTTAGAGGAGGTCCAACCGGTGATGATGATGATGATGATGATGATGGTGAAACAGAGCAAAAGAGGGATGTGAGCTCAGCAGGTGAGATGCCATTTATTCAGCTAGCTCAGTGCTACACTTCTGTTCGCCTCCTTCTTCACAGACCTCCCGTACAAAGTGCACAAATAAATGATTTACAGCAGGTTATTTTAACTCATACACAAAAGCCTCGTCTCACAATGCGTGACCTGAAAATGATGAAGGTGGGATGAGAGATGAAGATGAGAGAAGAAGCAGGAAAGAAACTGTTTGTTTTTTTTGTCATGGAGGAGAGATTTCAGCTTCCAGCAGCATCCGAACACCGGTAGCAGTAGAATGTTTGGTGTTGTCTCTAAACGTGGAAAGATGAAGATGAGGAGGATGAGGAGGCCTGCTGCTGTCACCTTGTGAGTCACTGTTCCACTTACAATGGTCCATTTTTCTGAAAAAGGAGGATTAGAAGAGGAGGAGGGGACTGTCGCCACAGCCCACCCTCACAACTGAAGGTTTGAGTTCATCTGAAGATCAAACAGGAAGTGGAATGGAGGGGGGGGGGGGGCTCAGGGAGAACTCAACCCTGTGTCCCCCAGTAAGGATTAGTCCAAAACAAAAAGCACACCTCATCGACAACAGACCCTGCAAAGTCCTCAAGTCCGTCTGCCTGGAAACAAAAAAAACAAAAGTCACTTCCATCGGTACAGCGTCAGACACGACTGTGTAATCCTTCACAGAAACCCCACAATGCACTCTGAGTGCAGCAGCTCGAAAGTCTGTCCGAGTTTGGTCAAATCTCAAATCAACACGAAAAATAATAACCAAAAAAAAAAAAGAAAGTAAATCAAGCCTCCGGTTTGGGAGCTCGGTCCTTCAGAGTGGAGAGGCTGAGCAGCACACCCGCCGTCTTCCTGCTTGAAGCAGAGAAGACGGAGAGATGGACAGAGTCGAGAGAGTAAAACACAGAAGAAGAAGACGGTGGAGACTCAAACGTCCTCCGTCCTCCGTCTCCTCGGGGTGACGTCTGCAGTCCAGAGAGCAGCTGAGTCTGTAGAGCTGAATGTAAGTTTATCCAGTGTTGGTGGGGGTGTGGTGTTTCTTTTTTATTTTTGGAGGGCAGGCGGCCGTACAGGTGGAGCCCACCTGGTGCCGTGGAGGAGAAAAGATGCCCCCCCCCCTCCAAACGGTCCGTTTACTGCTGAGCCGGCTCGCTGCCGGGCAGCGTGATGTTGCCGAGGTGCAGGACAGGAAGAGGGTGAGCCTCCGTGTTGAAGACCCAACTCTCAAACGGCATCAGGTCGTCGCTGGAGAACAGCAGGTACAGATACCTGGGGGGGGGGTAACGAAGGGAGGAGGAGAAGGATTGGGTGAAGAAGAAAGAAGTGAATGACACGCAAAAAACAAAAAAAAAGACAGGAACAAGCAGGTTTTACTATGAACGCCATCAGCTCTTTAAGTCAGTGGTTCTCAACTGGTCTGGCTGCGGGACCCACCATCACCCCTTAATGACAAGCCGCGACCCACGACCCAAATTTTATTTATTTATTTATTTATTTTTATATATATATATATATATATATATATAAAAAAATATATATATATATATATATATATATATAAAAATATATATTTTTTTTTCAAGAAGTCTAGTAGTAGTAGTAATGTCTCTGTGTAGTAAACAACTGCCAAATCAAATAAAGAAACATCAATTATATTTTAACAAATATTATTCTAATTGTTCAAATGTAACTGGATGGATTATAAATAATGCATAGAAATACATAAATAAATGTTCTTCTCATTTCAAGTAAAATAACGGCTGGATTAATAAATAAATTACGTAACTAAATTAATTTTAGAAAAATTATTTTCACTGAATTGCCCTGCAGCTTTAAATTCAGTTCATTCAGGATGAAGTGAAAAGGCCACAATATTATATATTTCTCATCTTCTAAAAAGAGAATTTAGTGTTGGAAGAATTCACCTATGACTCTGGTCTCTGGCCAATTTTCTCTTTTGGAAATCGTCCTATGATTTGACTTTCTCAACTCTCACTACAACAGTCCTGCTCTGCTGTCTCTTTCCTCGTCTCTCCCCCGTGTGTCAAGGTGTATTTACATCTCACTCAAGTCAGGAAACTTGTCAGAATGCCCATATTTGATTGGATGAGCTGCATCACGTGATGTGATTCACAACGCACTGGTCGGTGTTTTTCCTGCACCCCTGAACAAGTGCCGTAAATGCTGGAATAATTCCACTGCATAAAAAATGCCCTTCAAAATAAAATCACTTTTTTTTTTTTGTCAGTCAAAGGCCCACGACCCACTGAAAACGGGTCCGCGACCCACTTTTGGGTCGCGACCCACCAGTTGAGAATCACTGCTTTAAGTCATCTTTTCTACGTTGTTTGTTTACCTAAAGTCTTTAGATCTTTATTCAGAAACCAGTTTGGTCATAAACAGGAGACGAAGATCAAACCTGACGTGAGTTTAACAACGTTAGTCTAATTAGAGCTGACGGGACTTTCACAGGTGAATCAGACATTTGGGCGGATTTTTCACCTCGAAAAACTCCAACTAAAGCCTACACTGAATAACATCTGCACCGCATAACATCTGCACCGCATAACTGCACCGCATAACATCTGCACCGCATAACATCTGCACCGCATAACATCTGCACCGCATAACATCTGCACCGCATAACATCTGCACTGCCAGCAGCAGAAAACATCCACAGAGCTGCCAGCAGGGGGAGCCAGAGAGCCACGTTAGAGAGAGCCTCCTTCATCCATCACTGATGATGATGATGATGATGCCTTTAAAACACTTGGAAATAACAACAGAAGCCAGTGTGTTCACTTTCATTAGCAGCCTAATCGCGTTCATCACAGACGTGATTAATTAAATGAATCATCAAACGTCATTTTCATAATGTATTTATGTATTCTTGGGCTCACTTGAGCGTCTCGGCCAGGAAGAAGCTCTGCTGCACGTCGTCGTAGGTCGGGTTGGAGGAGTAGACGTCCTTCACTCCGGAGAAACCTCCGCTCACCCGGCAGTACTTATCGATGGCCTGGGAGGAGACGAGGAGAGAGGGAAGGAGGCGAGGAAGAGGAAGGGAGAACATGAGAGGAATGGGGGAAGGGAGGGAAAGAAGAAGGAAGTCAGGCGATAGAAAGGGAAGTGGTGGGAAATAAAAGAGCAAAGAGAAAAGGTTTTCATTTTAATAAGCTTACGAAACATGCTTTAATTAATTTCTTTGCTTGTGACAGATTAGAGTCGTGGGGAGAGACCCGAACAGGAAGCAGCAGCTGTAGAGCACAACACGATTACCACCAACGCCTCCATTTACATTCCATTCTCTAAAAACGTTCCTTTGGTTTGATTTAATGTAACGCTGTGTCTCAGTATTCCTTTAAGGTGGCTTCCGTCTCCCTAATCGGGTCCTCTTTAAATCTTCTGTCCGGCAGATTTACGGCAAAAAATGGAAAATGTGAGATTTCTTTGGACGTCAGATTTTCTTTTAACACAAAATAAAACACAGGCATGATGTCCAGTGTTTTCAGGATGAACTTAAGCTCGTAGGTGGATTTAAACTGTGATGTAAATCCTCTCTTTGTCCATTCACTTCGGCTTTACCGGGTTTATCTCCGACACACAACAACAACCACGGAGGACATGTTAACAGCAGCACAGCCTGGACTAAGACATCCGCTAACAACACTACGTTACCTCTGTGTTACTACTGTAACATCAGCATCACAGCGCTCCACATAACACACTTAAGCTTTAATAAATCATCGACCTGGAGGTGCTGATTGAAGCTTCTGTTGAGGGTTTTGAAAGAAGCTCCGAGTTGTGGATTTTGGAAATTATTTAATTTATCTATTTTTCAATAATTTGGACTTTTGGGCTCTGGAGTTATTGGAAATGTTTGGATCACATGAATCAGAAACACTTAGTATAATACTCTCATAATAATATAATAATATCAGTGTAGCCTGATGTATAAATACCCGGTTTGAACAGAATGAATAGAAAAAGTCAACGTTGTGAATGAAGTTCTGAAGTATCCGCTGCAGCCCTCGTTGATCCTTTCTCATCTCTAATATCTAAACCAGTTTAAACACGAAACAGATCTCACTAAAGTAGCCGTGATGTCCCCATAAAGGGTCAAAACCTGAAAGAATATCTCAACATATAATATATCACTTTTTACCCTCCTGACGTTTTGGTTCTGAGGAAGAAAAATTCACCTTCTACTTGAAAACAAGTTTAATTTGCAAGCAGGTGCTCCCCCCCGTCTACACACACACACACACACACACACACACACACACACACACACTCACTCTGAATGCGGCGGCCGTGCAGCCGGTGACTCTGGCGGTTTGTACCTTTCTACCTGTGTGCTCTGTTGATCTGTAATGAGAACTTGTTAAAGTGAAATTGGTGCCTCCATAAAAATTCTGGCTGCGTTACACTCCAGCTCACAGCTTATCGACTTTCACTGTTAACGCATGTAATTGAAAGAATTATCTCCGTCCTTGTCTTTCAGTCTCTCTCTCTCTCTCACACACACACACACACACACACACACACACACACACACACACACAC